GGATCCTTAACCCACCCCAAGCCAACCCAGCTAAACTAAACCAAACCACAACAAACCACAACAAACATAAACTCACTGCCATCATGTTGATTCCAACTCATGGCGGCCTCTGTGGGGTTCCAAGAGTATACTTTTTTATAGGAGTAGAAAGCCTTATCTTTCTTCCTCCAAGTGGCTGGTGGTTTCAAACTGCTGACCTTGTGGTTGGTAGCCCAAATTAACCCCGACATCACCAGGGTGAACCCAAAGGTACACAACATGCTGTCATTTGTTACCCCCTCCTCTGCACATGGGAGGGCACCAGGAGTCAGAAACCACTAGATGGCAACTTGCAACAACAATGAGAAGCCCTGGAGGAAGAGTTAGAGTGGGTTATGTGTTGGGCTGCTAACCTCAAGGTCACACAAACCAAGCCAAACTCACTGCAACTCTAAAGGCCCGGGTTGAATTGTTCCATGTGGGTTTAGGAGACAGCCACCGTCTATAGGATTCAAAAGCTTCATGTTTTCTCCCATGGAGCAGCTGGTGGTTTTGAACTGCTGACCTTGAAGTTAGCAGCCAATGAATAACCACAATACCAGCAGAGCTACAAGCCATATTACCACCAGTTTCTATGCCACCAGTCACTGAGCTGGAGAAAGACTAAGCCAGCGGTTCTCAACCTATGGGTCACGACCTCTTTGGGGGTCGAACAACCTTTTCACAGGGGTCACCTGATTCATAACAGTAGTGAACTAGTTATGAAGTAGCAAAGAAAATAACTTTATGGTTGGAGGCTCACCACAACATGAGGAACCGTATTAAAGGGTCGCAGCATTAGGAAGGTTGAGAACCACTGGACTAAGGTTTCTACTCTGATAAAGATTTAAAGGCTCAGAAACCCACAAGGGCAGTTCTACTCTGTCTAGTAGGGTCACTATCAGTCAGAATCAACTAGAGGGCCGTGAAAAAGAAATTAAAAAAGGATATCAGCAACAACAATGATGGGGGATGGGGGAGGAGGGAGAAGGAGAATTAAAGCTATTTTGGCCAATATCCTGCATATTCCTGAGGATTGTGAATGAGAGTTCATAATGTCCAGAAATATGGATGCAAGTAAAACAGTGGCTATATAGATTTTTCTAACAACATATTAAAGACAAATTGATATTATGTTTTACCTGTATTCACCTACCAAATATGTTCAACAATATTTAAAAAAATAATTTAAACAATTGAGTTTTTAATTTAAAAATTTTAATGTCTAGAATGGACAATACCATCTTACTTTGAAGTGCCAGAAGTAGAAATAAATAAATACCAAGGGAATTCATAGAACATTTCCATTATCTTCTTATTGCATTTTTTAACACAAAGTTTTTGAAACCCCCTCGTAATTTTTGGATTATAAATTAGTCATTGATTCTCTACTCCGAAGACTGGTGCATATTTGTTTAATGTACTTTTTTTAAAAGCAAGAAGGCTTTTAGGCTAAGTCGCATTAAACTTTTTGGGGTTGGAAAAACAACTAAGAAACTCAAACCCCCAGAGCCCCCAAAGCTGGTGCTAAGTACTTGATGTAGACAAGCCTGTACAACAGAATAGACGGACCCATGGGGCTACAAGGAGGGAACCCTTTGCCACCAACTGTTTGGCAGCCCAGAGTTTAACCCTGTGCCACCCGGGATCCTTTATTAGTATTAAAGGAACCAAGCCCCCTGCTGCAGAGTTGAGGGACAAATTCTTATCCTGGTTCGTGCAACCTCTGAGCCAGTGTTCTCACTTATAAAAGCGGAAAGTAGGAGGGATTGCTGCAAAGATTAAATGACACAGTTCCTGGAAAGCCTTGACCCAAGTGCTGATACATCGTGGTTGTCAGGGGCCCTTGAGTAGGTGCGGGCTCATAGCAACCGTAAGTACAAAAGAACGAAACACGGCGCAGTCCAGGACCGCCTCACGACTCCTTTGCAGCCGTTATATCAATGCTCCTCTTGGAGGGAGAGAGGGTGCCGGTGGCCTTGCTCCTTCTCGCGGCCTCTTCACTTCATCAAGCATGACATTCTTCTCCGGGGACTGGTCGCCCTGATAACATCCCTAAAGTACAAATACGCTAGATGCAACAAGAAAAGCAGCAATAAAACGAATAACAACGTTAATAATGACTGTGTTCAGTTTTTCCAAAGAAGAACTCCATCGAACTTGGAAAGCCAGAAGCGCAAACGAGTCCCAATAGCTTTACGAAGTGCGGCTAAAACTACATTTCCCAGCAGGCTTTGAGCCGAAGGGGCCGCCTGTCTCCCACTTCCGGGTGTGTCACGTGACTCCCTGGCTGCACCATGGCGGAAGCGGAGGAGCAGGTAAAGGCTACAGCTCCCAAATCCGAGCGGCAGGGCAGAGTGGGGGGCGGGGGAGTTGCCGCCTACGGGTGGACACAAGGCAAGCCCGCTCCGCGCTGGTCGAGGCGGGCCAGCAAATGTTCGTTTCGAGCATCGGAGAGGTGTGTGGGACCCCTGCTCGATGGAAAGCGGGCACCTAGCAATGTGCGGAGACACACCCCTTCGTGGGCCACCTTTCTGTCAGCGTGGTCTCTGGCGATGCGCAGACTGACGTGAAGGCTGGTTGGGCCATCCCAGGGACTTACTGCCAGAGGGAAGTATGAGAGATGACTTGAATTTTGAGGTTAAATGATTGCAATTTAAATTGCTCTCCACTCCAATTAAGACAGTAAGGGCTGATTGCAGGCGCCCTAGTAAATGTGAAGTGAGTTCCTCGTTGACCTGCCAAAAGCCAGTAGTTCGAAGGCACCAGCTTCTCCGCAGGAGCAAGATGAAGCTTTCTACTCAGTAAATATTCACAGCCTCAGAAACCTACAGTCAGTTTCATTAAGCCCTATTGGGTAGCTGTGAGTCGGAGTCAACTCGAGGAGTGCGAGTTTAGTTTTTAGGGTTTTAGTAGATAATGCATTTTGTTAATTACAAAAGGAAATTGCATTTGGTGTGCAGCAGTTATGAATTGCAGACGTTGTGGAACAGAAATGCTCAAGCTCATTGCTGGTTCCTTTCCTGGTACGTGATTCTGGACTAGATATTTAACCCTTTTACATATCTTACTCACTGCCATCAAGTCAGTGCTGACTCACAGTGAGTCCTGTGGGTTTCTGAGACTGTAACTGTCAACGGGAGTAGAAAGCCTGTCTTTCACCCGTGGAGCTGCTGGTGGTTTTGAAATGCAGGCCATGTGGATCACACACCAGTGTGTAATCACTACACCATCAGGGTCTCATTGATTAAAGTATAGTAAAGCTAAATGTTTCAAAATATGGGCACTTCAAAATGTCATTGTTATAGACTTAGAAATATAGGATATACGTAGATAATAGTACATCCTCCCTGGGTAGTTTAAAGTCGGAGGAGTTCAGGGGCAGGTAACATGCTCAGAACTGTTAGGTTCAACAAAGGTTAAACGGGATGCTATATTGTTGGCAAGACAAATGATGTCAGTGCTTAGTCAAAAGCTGGCAAGATGACACCAGAGTTTAAGGGAGACTTAGCAATGGGTTTGTGAAGTATTTTCACATAGGCAATAACAGTAGCTGCAGATAGAATCCAGAGCTTGGGAAAATACCTTAATCTTGCATTTCTATTGCCTGTCAGTTGTAATTGTTTCTGAAAAGTTGGTGTGATTGTTAGCTGTTTATATCATAATAAAAGGTGACCTTGTTCAATGATTTATACTGCTTTAACATACTTCATTCAAATAATGAAACTTTTTCTAGTATATATTTTACAGATGCCAAATAAGTAAGACGTTTGTTTTGGCTGATGGTTGTCAAAGATTCCTAGAGGTGGCAGTGGGTAAATGCTGGGCTGCTAAGTGAAAGGTGGGCAGTTTGGGCCCACCAGCTGCTCTGCAAGAGAAAGACATGACAGTCTGCTTCCTTAAGGATTGCAGCCGTGGGAACCCAGAGGAGTAGTTCTTCTCTACCCTGAAGAGTTGGTATGGATTAGAATCAGCTTGATGGCCATGGGTCTGGGCTTTGCTTGTGGGAGGATCAACCACCTAAAACTGTAACCCCTTATTTACGTTTTGAGTACTTCAAAAGAAAATGCGTATTGTTCCCAGAGTTGATGTGAGGAGTGGGATTGCTTTACACACTGTCTTCATGTCATATTGCAATATCATTGTGGTTTGATTTAAAAACCAAGTAAACAGATAACCTTTTCATATTCTTAGATCGAGCATAACTGAAATGGAAATAATTGCCTTTGTTACTTATTACTGGTTTGAACGGATGAAGAGTTTGGTAGAACTGTCTGTGGTAAAAAAGACATGTAGAAAGTTGGTGATGGAGGAAGAATACTTTACACTTGTGCGGCACTTTCAGTGTACATACCCCGTTCAGAACACCTGTGGTTCTCACAAAATATTCCTATGAGATCAATGTTTATTTTGATACGTGTGTCAGATCAAGCATCTTCTATGTTCCAGACCTCCTCATGGCTTCCCATCTCATGTTGAGGACAAGCCAAAGTCGTAGAAGACTAGTGTGGCCCTGTAGGGAGAATTACCCCATTGCCCTCTGTGCCCTCTCTCCAACCTCATTTCCCGATACCTTCCCGCTTCTCTCAGCCTTTACTCTGCATTAGTAATACTGGCTTTCTTACGGTTCCTACAGCAAGCTAGATGTGTTCCTGCTTCAGGCCATTGCTTGCTTTGTTATATATCTGTACCCCAAGTGCTACTAGGTCCTCGCCCTCACTTCTTCCCAATCTTTGCTCTAGGGTTAACCTTTTTGAGTGAGCCCTTCCCCGACCTTTTCTCGAAACCTCCTTTGTGGTTGGTTTATCGTTCCAGTAGTGTTCATCAGAGAAAACCTGACATAGTCTTCTATTTTTGTGTGTATTCTCTTCTCTCCAATAGAATGTAAGCTCCACAATGCCAAAGATTTGTTCAGTGCTGTGCATTGGATCCTTAGCATAGTGTGTTCCATGTTATACAAATTTGTGTTAATGATTGAATTGTGCAGATGAGATAACCAAAACTCAGAGAACTTAAGTAAGATTCATATTCACAATAAGCTACTAGTCCTTCTCTAAGCTCACTAGCACCTAAAATTAATAAATTCATGTTTTGTGAAATAGAGTTAGCCCTTATCAGGTTAATAATGTTCCTTCAGTTTATTGTTCTGCCTTTGACTCTTTATCAGCCCTTTTAGGTTTGGAAGGTGGTACAAGTGGTTGTACAAATGGTTGGTTTTTGTTTTCCCACTTACAAGTTGGCACTGAGCAGCCCTGAGGAAGATATCTGGCAGTGTGCTGCTGTATTGATTTTTAGAAAACCCTAAACTCACTGCCATCTAGTTGATGCCAACTCATAGCAACCCTATAGGATGGGATAGATTTTCCCCCATGAGTTTCTAAGACTGTAACTCTTTACTGGAGTAAAAAGGCCTGTTTTTCTCCTGCAGAGGCTGGTGGTTTTGAACTGCTGACCTTGCAGTTAGCAGCTCAATGCATAGTGATTACAGCCAAGAAAACCCCATGGAGCCCCACATGAGGTCACAGGGAGTCAAATGGACTCTATGGCAATGGGTTTCCATTTAGCATGGTCCTTCTCCCCAACTGCAGGAAATAAAAGAGAAAGGGTTCATAAGTTGTTGTGATATTTATTCTTTTGAAAAGGATAGTAAATGATTTGACTTGCATTATCAGTCCTTTGTGGAGAAAAATGGTTAGCCTTTTCTCATTCTACTTTATTTATGTACTTTTGTAAATCACAATGGGAATTTACTGAAGTTTGACTAAGATAGGAGGCCTCAATTATAGAAGTTTTTGGAGGCTAAATTGCACCAAATTGGAGTAAATGTACTTGTTAATTGTTCTGAACTGCCATCTGGAGTCCTTTAGAAATTATAGCAATTATTTTTCCTGTATATTTTTAAGAATTGAGATACATACTAATTTAACTAGATGGCAAGCTTTTCGTAAGTTAGCCTCATTTACTGTAAATGAGCTCATGCTCCGAGATGTACAGCACTCCAAGTTGAGTGTAGTGCTAAGCAAGACAAAACTAAACCTTCTCTTCATTAACTTCCCTGCATTATATTCTTTGATTGTTGTTCCCTCTTGCCCCTTGATTTTAGGAAGAACCAACATAAGAGATCTGCCCCGAGTGAATGAACATTTTACAAAGCGGTTCACAGATTTTCAAACTGAATCACTTTTTGGCTATTAATGAAAATTTTTTTAATCATTAGGAAATCCTTGCCTTTGCTGAGTATGATAAAGAAGGTTCGCCAGAATAACCACATATGCATTATGTAGTTCATAGAAAGAACTTACCAGGCATTCTGGCTGGAATTCTTTTTTTTTTTTTTTTTACTTCAAGGACTGTTTATTGGCCTAAATTTAGGATTGTTTTCCAGTCGAGCTGTTGGAGCACCATGCCCTGGCCCCAAAGTCCACCTTCAGCATTCCCTGGGGACCTTGCCGCTCCGTTCCCTTGCTGTTCTGTTGCACCCCCTTAGTGTTTTGCCTGGGTGTGGTCGGATCAGATCGGGCACAGTTCCCACACTGTGTCTCTGTTGTTGTCCCCTGTAGGGCTATGGGTCAGTGAGGGGCGTCATGTCTCATAGTGGGCCTGGCCATGTGGTCCTCTCTGTGGACTGGCTGCTCTAATCGGGAACATCGTCCTCCAGGCCTCTGGCAGGAATTCTTTTAGCCAGCAATTTTACTTAGTTTCAAAACGATTTATAGTTGACCTTCATAATCATGGATGCCCAATAGTATTTGTTGATATCACTCTTATGGATCACACTGTGCTTGTCTATTTGTCTTGTCTCCCCTACTGGCTTGCTGAGTCCTCAGGAATAGGGCTGGGAGCTCACTCATGTCTGTATCCTTCCCAAGGCTAATGCTCTCCATCTACCAGCTATTTGATATAACCATTTACATGGCTTGTTATATACTTGCTATATGGTTTTCTGAGTTGTAAAATTGGAAATTTGAGTCAGCATAGTGTATGGTCGAGTCTTTAGGTACTCAGCTCCTAAGCAAAATGTTCGAGGTTCATATCCATCCAGAGGTACCCCGGAAGAAAGGCTTGACAATCCACTTCTGAAACAAGCTGGCCACTTAGAAGTCTGTGGAGCACAGGTCTGCTCGAACACACAGGGGGGTCGCCAGGACTTGATGGCAACGGATACTGGAACAATTTGTGTTACATTGTTTTTATATTTTTGAAAACTGGGAAGCGACTAATCAAATGCTATCGATCTCCTATTTGCTGCATTTCTTATTCCTGCCAGATAGTTTTTCATCTTTTAACCTGCGTGGACTCTAGTTCGCTAAAATATTTG